CAGGTACAGCAAAAACGAATGAGGACGAAGTGTGCACAATATTCGATTCTGCTGCAGTGCCTGCACCGATCTGATTCTATGCCCCTTTCAGCTAATTCTTCCTCTTCGGCTTATACTTCTCCAGTTTCAGATCAAGGAGGAACTTCTCCACTTTCAGATCAGCTAGTTATCGTTCTTCGCGCAAAGTAAAAAGCAAAGCTGTGAAACACGGTCTTGCAGAGACAAAAAGAAGTTCTCTAAGTCTTCATCGTGTGCTCTAATGAATTTATAATTCCATAACAACACGACCACAGTAATCAGCAGTATAAACATTGTTACTATGAAACAACAGAACGCCTGCCATCATTCAACATTTTTACTACCAGTAGTTCAACCTTACTGTCCGCCATTTTTGTTTGTACCATGTGATCATAGTTTGGCGCGAAAACGCCTACTGACTAGCATAAGGGCATCTAATTTATCGATCGCCATAAAAATTCTCGATCGTCAAAAAAATTCTCAACTGACCAAAAAATTCTCGATCGACAAAAAATTTTCAACTGAGAAATATTTTTCAACCGATAAAAAAAGTTTCCTCGATCCTTTAAAATAGTTCTGGATTATCAGGGATATATCGCGACAGAAAGAATTAATTTTCCACTGATAAAAGAATTTACTCGATCGTGAAAAATATTTCTGGACCATTGAAAATATTTCCCCACAGACGAAATTATTTCTCAGTCGACAAAAAATTTCTCAACCATTTTTTTCCAGTATGGCTTTCCATGGATGTATGTTATACTTATCGAAAAACCCGTACCTCAGCGTACTCTGAATCACAGGTTTTAGACGCCGCAAAATCTTGAATTAACCGAATTTAGAAACGAGAACCTAGCGCTTTTTTAGCATGTAAAAGCTCGCAAAATCCGCCCTCGAAGTAATTCTTAGAATCGACTGGAATTCCGGCTCATTATTCCGACTACCGTACTGTGACCAAAATTCAAAGGGGACAAAACGTCGATTTTGTGGTATGGACAAGTTCGGATATTTTGTCTACTGAAAGACGAGTATAATTTGAGGTTGAGATTGAGATTGCCAAATGAGATTCGTTGAAATATTTTGACTGCCAGGTAGCCCTCTCAAGACTGTGAATGACTGTGGGGCCTTTCGCGTGACGCGTCAACATTAATGAAATTCTGAGTCTCTCCATAGCACATCTTGCCCACCTGTGATTGTCAAGCAACACTAGCTTGATTCAGATGGAGACAGAAAAAAGTTCTTAAAACTTATTTTGGCGTCTCTTCGGCGAATTTAGATGTGTTTTTGGTAAGGCTTCACAAATTTTTATGATTCACACACCTACAGGTAAATGCTTCCTTGAAGCTCGAAGGAATTTTCCGTTTTTGAGGGGATTCATTGAAGAGACAGTATTTAACTCATAAACATAACTAATACATGAAATGAAAAGCCATGCATATTACATTCCACTAAATTGTTTTGAGATGTTTGTACGACCATTATGTACAATCGACCATGCGCTACTAGAGAGGCAAATTTTTTGCATTTTATAATTTCTCTAGACACAAGGAAATGTTTTGTTTAAAGTGTTGCTGTTGAAAAAAA